AAGAAGTCTAATTACAGTTGTTGATCTCTGCCCAAGGTGCAGCGTTTATAACCAAAGGCAGAAATCAAAACCTAAAATTTAGTGGGGGGGAAAACAGAAGCATCCGTCCAAAAGACAATACGCTAGAACAGAGAGAGAACTTGGCAAAAACAAGAGAACCAGATAACAGGGGGACAAAGCTATGAACAATACAGTCACTCCTCACCAATTTCCGTTCCTACAAAAAGGTAGCTAAGCGAATTGGTCCATAAGCGAGGAGCCGCCCCTTACCGTTGTTTCAGGCATACTGAACGAGTAGTGGGTTTGTGTAAACCATCTTTAGATATTATTTTAATGTCATCTTTGCACCATTCATAACATTAGTATATTTATAAATGTTTATACAGTAGTGTACTATTCCTCCTACGTGTTTTCTCTGTATGTGACAGGTGAAAATCTATGAGTGAAATTGCAATAAACAAAACAGAAAAGACTCAGGAGATCTCTAATCTGGTATAGCAAAGTTACAACAAGCTGGTCGATAAGTGCTAAGGTTAATCATCAGCGGAAATACAAGTAAACGCTACACTGACATATGCAGGTATGTATCGTAATTTAGCATCCCTGCAATCCAGTGAATCATTGGTAGTCTTGTTTTGCACATTACCAAAATAAAACAGCGCATAGAAAATAAGTCACTTGTAAATATTAACTAAGATATGGAAAAGTAAAAAAAAAATAAAAACTTGCAGCCATTGCTTTTGAAAATGTTACAAAAGTAAAAGACACAGGAAAACTTTAACCTTGTGCATGTCTGTGGTTTACAGTATGTGCCCCTGGAGGTTCCCTGTCCCACAATGTGAGCATAAGCATCAAACTAAAGGTATCGGAATAAAAATTGATTGCATGGGCACCGTTAGTTCTGTTTCGCTTTCCAAAAGTATATCCTATGTCATAATTACAACCATCGGTTTCTGGTATTTGGTGCCCTTGTAAGTAACAGCCGGTTAGATGCCTGCCAATCTAACAGCTTCCGGGTCCCAAGGCTGTACAAGTAGATATCAAACTCACCAGCTTGCTGCATTTGAAGATTTGGTGTGAAGAGACTGCCGGCCTGAAGATACGCTTGCAGAAGCTGATGCCTCTCAGCCAAAGTATTATTCAGGTTTTTGAAGTTATGCAGCTTCTTTGTACACTGCTTGAAAAATGTGTGCTTGCTTGCGAAACGCAAAATCCACAACCAAATGAGTGGACCAAGATGCATTATGAGTTCTGGATAGTGCAGTAAGAAATGATGCTTCGGTTTCAGTGCTGTATCTGGAAACAGTGAGGCTCTTGACTCAATATACTGTTCAATGAAAACTCTCAGACATGCTACCTGATTAGCATGTGTTTTTGGGGCTGTCACCATATCAACTATCTCTCATTGCTGGAGGCAAAACTGCCAAATCTAATCCTCCAGTGGATTTTTAATATGATCACCAATCAAATAAGCAGTGGGAGTAATCAGAGCAAACACCAATTCTGAGCTACATTACATTACCCCCCAATGTTTCACTATCTGCCCGCACTTCACATTATTGTTAACTTATTCGCTTATTGTTGGTAATTTGTTTCCAGTTAAGTCTCGGATTGACTACAAAATGCTGCTATTAACTTATAAAACACTGAACTTGTTGCATATTGTCTGACTAGAGGGTTGATAATATATTTGTCCGTCAACGTAGTGATAAACTACAACACTAATAACGGTGGATAGTCATACATCCAGGGCTAGCATAAAATAGCTAACAAA